TTTGTGATGTGTTAACATTGAGATCTTGAGAAAATTCATCATGTGATCACGGTATTTCGAGAAAGTATCACAGTAAATAATATCCAATGATCTAACGCGCAGTTAAAAATATAAGTAAAATCGAAGTATTTTAGAAAAGAAAGACCATTTATAATTCAATTTCTCACTGGTACTTTTATCGTCAGGTCATTTTGTATACCCCCTCCACCCGCGTTTCTTCTGACCAGATAATCTATTTTATGACACATAATACCACACTGTTTTGATACATGTGATAGTCGAACCGATGTGGGGTCTTCCATATTTACTTGATGATGAGACATGAGTAGTTGTCAGAAAGACAAAGCCGAAAAATATTTAGGACGATAGAAGTAACATGTCAAAACACGAATAAAAATGCTGGAAATGAGAAAATATGTGTAGCGAATGTGTCAAATTCGAATGATTGTCCTTTGAGAAAGAATGAATAACCAGAAATAAATCTTTTAAGTACATATAACTTGTATTCCACATAATTCATGTGTCATGTTTTATTTTGTCTGTTAGTCACTCTGCTTTGTGCGACATTTTTCGGGCATCGATTAATATTGGACAACCCTGAAGTGGCTTAAATGATATCACTGGCCAGAAAAGCAAAATAACGCATTTGCGGCGGCGGTTATGTTTTCAACATTTATTTGGGATGGTCGGCCTTTTATACCCCACGACGATTGATTGATTGGGATTTAGGTTAGTCACAGTGGTTACATGTACGCTATATTGGACCACATTGCATTTGCTGGAATAGCAGAAAAACACGTTTGTGGCAGTTCAATTTTCCACAATCTGATTAAAATACAGATCTATATTTCGTTTCGTTTTTTTTTTTTTTTTTTTTTGTGGTAATTCGATGGCCTACACTACATGAAGATCTGACCAGTTGTAGTGAAAGGTCGCGTTAGGTGTCATACGAGCGGCTTTTGACCTTATGACGTCATACATTGATTAATCAGTCAGCGTTGACGTTTCTAGTGGTTTACCCACAGTTACGTGCACCTCACGCCAAAAACTCGCCATAACAGACTGTTTCATTTGCTTATACCTTACATCATCCAGAACGTGGTTTACATAACAACTCTTCCAGATCCTAGTGGAGTAAAACGAAATTTTGAACTATAGAAAACGAAACATGTATTCTGTATATCTCCATATTATAAGCATGTGTACATTTGTTAATACATGTTATATCTATGTATTCCAACTTTCTGTGTTGAACTCGCATGTATACTCAAATTAATCTTTTAAGTGATTTGTATATATTTTCCACTATTTTAAATTATTGTGGTGTACATTAGTCTATATCTTATGTAATATATTTTCTATGAAGGACAGGATGTTAGAAAAGCTATTACAGACTAATCTTCAACCCTTCTTAAATAAAGTCATTGTTATTATTATTATTATTAAACGAAATAGGGTCTGTGTTTTAATCCGATTGATTTTCCAAATTAATGTTCTCCTGGTGGTCACTTCTTCGTGAACTGTAAACGATTGATTGGAATTCAAGTCAGTCATCCAAGTTAGGACCACACTGAAGTTGTTAAATTATCGGACAATAACAGCAGGAAAACGCTTTTCCGGCCGTCCAATTTTCCAAATACTTTTATTTATTTATCAATTTTTTAATATTTTTTTTTGGGTGGGGGGGGGTGGAGGGAATGACTTCGGCACTCGTTGAAAACCGACGCCACTGTCTATAGACGGAATTCTTTTTCGGGCATTTCATGTCTGTCCCCCACCCCCGGCACACATCCAATATCCTGCTGTATTATCGATTGTCTGTGTCCACAAACCAACCCAACTGTCTTTGAAATCGAAGTATTGAACCATAGGATATAAAATGGGTAAAACGTTGTCTTTGTTGTTATTTATTTTTACGGTATCGACGATCGGTTTATAAATGTCAACAAGAAGGAAGCTGTCAATCGTCTTATATTCTACTTCAGCCAGGGCTTGTTGGCATCACTAGATAATTTTAATAATAGTTCTAACTGGAGGCTTAGTTTTGTTTTCACTAGTTTTGTTGTACAATGAAACATGGAATAAAATATTGTCTATTCTTAAATTATCTTTTACATTGTTCGAACGAATTTAATTCATATTGATTATGTAGAACGGGTAGGTAAATCCTTTATAAATTTATTTGTTATTTTGAGTATTAGCATCAAGGCCAAATTCAGAGGAAACATTTCGACGATAGTATTAGTATAAAACGATTACGCGAACAACAGTGTCCACAAATTTACTTTAAAAAATTCTACCCGTGAGCGAGTCAAGTCCCCTCACAACACACCTCGTTTACACCACAGCATTCAGTGACGTTATTCTTCCCTTCACATTACTCACAAGGCTGTTTGTGGAACTTTATTTCGTTTTACCCTTAAATATGCATTATGTAAGATTTAGATAAAGAGCTGACAGTTCTTGTTGTAATAGGTCCAAAATAGATAATTCAAAATTAATATTTTATTGAAAATTTTATTCAAATTACTTCATTCTGAGCGAAGGTATCACTGTTTGAAATTTTGACATAAATTGTTTATTATCGCAGCAGTCTTGCTTCTCGTATTTTAATCCGTTTACATCTTCACCAGCCGATGTTCTAAAGATTTGATTATATACTTATCATGTGAATAAATTTCTAAATAATAAATTATTTAACAGTTGAATCCCCCCAAAAAAGCCTGCAATATGCAAATTTAGCTCTTACATGAAACACCTTTAACTTGGTTTTATCTAATAAATCATATGCTGCATTTCAGATGTTGCTAATTATATATTTCGCTGTTACCAATTATGTCTTATTGATGTCAAAGGCGGCAAACACATCTGCTGAAGATCTTGATCATGAATTGGACTATTTAAGGAAATGCCCGGAGTGTAAGCCGCAGAAAACAAAGAGTCTTCTTATGGATCCAATGTGCGTACACTGCATGTGTGATTTAGATTGCATAAAATATAGCGATTGTTGTATTGATGTAATGATAAATCTAGGCCTGCATAGGCTTGATCCGCAATCCGAATATAGATGTATTTCACCAGATCCTAATTCAATATTTAGACTGAAAGATATGGATATGGAACCAATGGGTGGTTACTTCATGAAAGCCCATTTTACTGATAATAATGGCACTCGTTCCAGATGCCGTAATGATACTGTATTACCCACCACATGCCACAGCACGGGTGACACTTTTATCAACATGGATTGTGCTTTTCTAAATGACGAAGTTGATTGTCAAAATTGGAACCTACAGTCAGAATGTAACGTATCAAATCCCGAGTGCAAAACGTATCTTATTCCACCCACCTTTGCTGAGCTGAGATATTGCGACGCTAGAAGATCTCAACCAATCGTTTCACTGCCTTCTCAAAATACACCGAGTTTATTTGCGGAAGATTACGAAAAGAAGTGTGCTAAATATTTTTACCTTGTCTATATTCCATATGGTCTTGTTTATAGGAATATATTTTGTTTTGTATTAAATGGAAATGAAATATATGAAATTCTTACTTCTGGCGTAGTTCCAATAAAGGCTATAACAAGATTTGCAGATCAGTTTGAAAAGGCGGTTTATAAATTACCATGTAATGGTGCAGAGGCTTGGATGGATTTTTATGTTGTAAGTATACCGTTTTACCCCTACCATCCTTACAATTGGCGCAGTTATCAAGGCCCTCTACCCTTGTGGCCATGCACAAATTAATTTATAATCGTATACACGCTGAATAATATAACGGATTCGCTTGTGGATACAGTAATTTTATACATCCCCACCCCTTTTACTCAAAAGAAATAACCACAGAACACCACAAAGATCGTGTATAAACCCTGTTAATTGGGCTATTACTTTACTATACGCCTATCACCGCTCCCTGATTTTGAAAACACGATAAGGTCAGCGATCTGGGTTATATTAGTCACTTTTGGAATCCCTGTCATCCCTAAATCCCTTTTCCTTACATGGGATGAAATTTGGTAGAAATTAAACAATAACACATACACGCGTATGTGTTTTTGTTTATTGCTCTATCCAATTAACGCCTCTAAAAGATTATTGGTAGAAATTGTCGCCTCTGATCAGCACTAATAGGGCTATTAGAAACTGAAAATTATATAGTCATATATGGATCACTGGCTGTAATTTTCAAGAGTTCCTCTTAAGAGTGGATATTTTTTTCAGAGGAAATGCCGACCAATAAGATGTTACACTGGCAAAATATTACGAAGTGGATATTGTGAATATGATAACAGGACGGCTCTTGGGAATTCGTATCATCTACTTGATAAGCTAACCGTGACGCCAGATATTAAAATCCCGGTTTTAAAGCAAGCACTTCAGAGCTTGGTGACTTCTCTGTCTTATCAGGTGCTATCCTCGCACTACCAAATCACAACCTCTGATAAAATGATAAAGGGTGATGACTCCTTAATGTATCTTGATATTTGGTTTACTGTCACCGACAATATCTCATTGTATGATTTTGAAGAACGCATTATCGGCATGGAGAACGATTTTTATGGTTTTAGTCTCTATCAAGGGGCTCATATTATGTCAAGTGTTGATTTATCACGGTTATCATATTCAAGGGAATCTTATAGAGGCTTTTCTATGGACTTGGAAACTGGTTTATGTTGTGCAATGGAAGATAAACTGACTATAAACGAAGACGACTACGAACCAATCACTCATCAATTAAGATGCTCTTATATTGAATTCGATATAAACGAGTATGTTTTGATAGACATGACTGCACGAATTGTTCATCTGAACCTAACTTTAGATCAAGGTCAATTTTCACTTTACAAATACCAGCTCCGAGTTTGTTTTCAACTGTTTCTTAACAAAACTGGTTTTGTTTATAATAATGAAACTGTTATGTATGATGTCTCTGAAGAAGAACCCACAGGAGGAAAAGGCATACAGTGGTATCTCAGTACGATTTGTATCACATTGTCTATGACTTGCTTGGTTATAACCCTTATAGCATTTTTCAAAGTTTCTGAAATCAGAACCCAACCAGGTCAAAATAACATGGCTCTGACAATAAACTTGCTTTTAGCTCAGTTAATGCTGCTGGTGGGAGTCGATCAAGTAAATGATACTATTTTATGTCAGGTATTTGGTGTTACTATTCATTATTTATGGTTAAGTATGTTCTTTTGGATGAACGTTTGTTCATATCACATGCTAAAAGTTTTTGTAATACGCAAACTGGTCAGGACCGAGAGTCCAAAACACGTTAAACAAACGTTGATATATTTGATTTATGCCAATGGAACACCCATGCTGATAATTGTAGCTAATATTGTGGTCAATTATATTTTATCAGAAGGCGCTAAAATTGGTTATGGTGGGAAGATTTGTTATTTATCTTCTGGTCAGCTTGTTCTTTATTGTTTGATTATACCTCTGGGATTAGTGATTTTATCAAATATCGTATTCTTTATGTGTACCGTGATCTCTATACATCGTGTAAAACAAAGAGGTAAACAAACCGGAGACAGAAATAATATCTTCATCTACTTTAAATTATCCATGGTAACTGGCTGCTTCTGGTTATTCGCCATTTTATCAAATGTTGTTACCAGTCCGGTTTTGGATTATCTATCTATTATTCTGAACTCACTGCAGGGAATCTTCTTGTTTTGGTCATTTATTTTAAATAAAAGTGTATTAAACAAATGTAGACACCCAACCCCTGTTAGCACGGAAACAACAGCACGAAAAAATGAAACGCAAGGGGGCAATTGTCCTTCACTAGACGATGATCCGAAGGTTCGTTGATCAAAGATGTTACTAGTGGCGTCTACAATTTTTTGTGACCTTTTTCTTCTTCATAGATTGCCCACTGGGTCATAAGGAAGACCCTTATCGTGGTATAACCCCCCTTTCTATATTTTAGCCCCATAATGATTTCCATTATACTAGAAATTTCTGATATTTAAACAAACTTGATTTATAGAACTTTCTCCCGTAAATGATCCAATTTCAAAACAAATTAGCTTTCTGAATAAATGCATCGACATTGTTATTGCTATGTAGATGTAGATGGAACGAAAAACCCGGTACTAAATCATAGTTATTTATCGTTATTTTGAATGAAGTTAATCTGTTTATTGGAATTCCGCCCTTTTCGCCTTTCAACTGCTTTGAATGTTTACATATCTGAAAATGACGGTAAAAATTTAAAAATTTCATCTAAACTGCTTAATATATTTTAACCAAATTTGGTCTTATAGCACATTTTCGACGCGGGTCTTTTTCACCCCATATACGCACAAAAATAAACGTATTGTTTGTGTCATAATGTAATGATTAAATGTAATATAATTATAAAATTAAATGTAATTTAATAATAAAATTGAATTTAATTATAAATAAAGTGTGATTTTATTATAAATAAAATGTAATTGTATCATAAAATTAAATGTAATGTAATTATATAATTAACAGTAATGTTGTCATAATATTAAATGTAATGTAACAATAACATTGAATTTAATTATAAGTACAATGTAAAATGTGATGTTATTGCAAATTAAATGTAATTATAAAATTAAATGTTAAATGTAATGTTATTATAAATTAAATGTAATTTTATTATAAATTAAATGTAATTTTATTATAAATTAAATGTAATTTTATTATAAATTAAATGTAATTTTATTATAAATTAAATGTAATTTTATTATAAATTAAATGTAATTTTATTATAAATTAAATGTAATGTTATTATAAATTAAATGTAATGTTATTATCAATTAAATGTAATGTTATTATAAATGAAATATAATGTTGTTATAAATTAAATGTAATTTTATTAAAATTAAATGTAATTTTATTATAAATAAAATGTAATTTTATTATAAATTAAATGTAATTTTATTATAAATTAAATGTAATTTTATTATTCATTAAATGTAATTTTATTATTCATTAAATATAATGTTGTTATAAATTAAATATACTGTAAATATAAAATTAAATGTAATCTGGTATTGTAATACATTTTCGACTCGGGGCTTAATCATCCTATAAGATAGTATACACACAAAGGTAAACGTATTATGGGGTAAAATGTAATAATAGTGTAAGTATAAAATTAAATGTAATTATACAATTACATGTAATTTTAGAATTTTAATTCATTTATTTTTTTAATTAAATTTAAAAATGTAATTATACAATTAAACGTGATATACACATATTTATAAATTAAATGCAACGGGATTGTAAATTAAATGTAATTGTAGCACAATTTCAGCTTGGGGATTATTCACTCTATAAGATAGTTTACATACAAACGTAAACATATTTTTTGTTACAGAACGTAATGATTAAATATAATGTAATTATGGAATTAAAGATACACTCCCCCTTGGGTGATTTGATGATATATTTGGACTTAAAACATATTCAAACTAATTAATTTAACATAATTTTTCTTCAAATCCTTCTCAAAACATTGTAATTATCAGGGAATACCCCTGCAATAAATAATCGACCAAAAGGTTATGTTTCTGTCACGTGACTTACCTCTGTCGTTACCTAACAACTCAGAAACTGTTGCACCCATATTTCTATGGTTGCACCATCAAGTTTATCAACATATACATCAATCGCTCACTAACGCTGGTAGATTAGGCAATCTTCGCGTGCTACCTTTGACGTTCCACGAGCGGACATCACTAATCGTCGGGTTGCCGGTTAGGGAAACTCTTACATTTTTTCCCGGTATGCACCCCATGGGTGTTTTTCATGGAATCCAGTATTTTTCTAGTAAGTTGGATGTTTCTACTGTCCGTATATACCAAAATTGCCATACTTTTATTGGAAATAAACACCCGATAAATGCTTTTCTGGGAAACTATCTTTAAATGTAATGTAATTATGGAATTAAATGTAATGTTATAATAAAATTATATGTAATATACACGTAATTATAAATTAAACTTAATTGTATTATAAAAGTAAATGTAATGTAAATGTATTGTAATAATTTAATGTAATGTACTTGAATGTAATGTAATTATATAATTAAATGTAATGTCGTTATGAAATTAAATTTATTCGTGGAATAATAGTGTATGTTTCTGGTCATATTCGTCAGATAAAAAAGATAGGTGATATCTTTTTGAGATGTCAAAGTTGTGAACATCTTGAAATTCATTTTCTTTATTTCAAGACTGTGGTTTGTGTTTATATTTTTAAATTCACATTAAAGTTCATCTCTTTGAGCCCATCAAAAAGTAAAGTTTTGGATCTTCGAATACATATGACCACAGCTGTGTGTGTGTGTGCGGTGTGCGGGGGGGGGGGGGTATCGTTTTCTGTAGTGAAATGTTTTGAAATTTGATTTAGAAAGATGACCGGAGAATATGAATAGGTGCCGATCTAGTGTGTTTACATCTCCGATATAGTCGCCTTCATCAGGATAGTAGTACATGTTGAATATATGCATAAATGGTTTAATCTAAATGTTCGATGTTGCCCAGCGGTTTATTTTACTGTGTTCTATTGTCGAGATCATTATATTATCTACTGTATTGTTGACATTTAAATCGTTAGCAAATTGATTTGTTGAATATTGTTGAAAAGTATAATATTACTGAATATAATTGGTTAATGATGATCAAAGGGAAATGAGTAGGATTTAATGCCCGGGCAATATAATGATGGGATGGGAGCCACGGTGGTTCATTGAGTAAGACGTTGGCTCGCTAACCTGCGTTCGATCCCTGTGTTGGCCGAGAAAGTTCATTGGGATTTTCCGGCAAGGTTCCCCCTTGTCAGTGGTATAGGTCGGAAGACGCACAATTTTTCAAATGAAAGTAGAAAGCATATCAACTCACGTGCAATAACAGGTAAATATATTCTTATCAAACGGGGTTCAATTGTTTTACATGTTTAATGTTCAATTCTACAATTTAAAAGCAATCATTTTACACATAATTTACAAATATACAAATAACAAATATTAACAAAATTATATATGGAACGATAGAATATGTGGAATACAAAGGAATGATTTTTCTATTGAGTAACTGGGAGCTGAACAAATTATTTCATTAACGTTGTCAAGCATGATCATATCAACAACAAAATTATACCGGGTGACACAAAAAAGCGTTCATCACCTAAACTTGAATAACGAAGGGGGGTCGTCAGGGACCTCCAGTGGTTCCAGCAGGATGGTGCCACCCCCCACACCTCAAACGAATCAGGTGTGACCCGGAGTGGCCGCCGCATTCACCGGACTTGAACGCCCCAGATTTTTATCTGTGGGGATACCTTAAGGACAGGGTGTATGGCAACAACCCCCAGACTATCCCTGATCTGAAGGCAGCAATCACAGCAGCAATAAAACGACCCCATGGGAAGAATGTGGGAGGGTCATCGAGGAGCACCCGGGAGCTCATTTATAGCTCATTTTTTGAGCGCCAGTTAAACAAAGAGTTTTTGTGGTACAGACTTGAAACTTTGGAGATGTCTGCTACATAGACTTAACCTAATGTAGCTGAATTTTTGTGTTAATCTAAATAAAATTTTGGAAGTTATTCGATTTTTATTGATGAACGGTTTTTTTTGTGTCACCCTGTACAAAATCTAACTTGTTCAGGATGATTTCCATATACATTTTTTCTGAATATGATAATTTTGGTATCAATATACCCTAACAAGTGGTTGAGACTATTCAATAATTAGACCCTAATCATACTTTATGAGTCGTATTTTCACAATGAGATAACAAAAATCAAAAACAATGATATACATTATCAACAACCATCATACTATACGTAAAGTCTCTGCTATATAACGTATTACATACTTAGAAGTTAAGCTACTCTATTTAAATTTTTAACGAAAAATATTCAAATCTCGCATCTATAGAACTACTGCCCTATTTTAAGTTAACAGTGTTTTGGTTTGTGCGTTGCTATGAAAGTCCTTTGGTTTGTTATTTAACAAGAATTATTCATGCAGTAGGAAATGGGATTGATTGAACAATTACAATATCAAATAGTTTGTAACTAACTATTGTAGTAAGTTGTTTATCCTCGTAATTCAACTGTTTAGGCTTCGCGTCCTCATTTGGTAACTGAAGACGAAAATGTGGTTTGTTTTACTGCCGACTTCTATATAGCAAAATATGTATGTCAAACCTTCAGTCTTGGAGATCATGATCAACCCTAACTTAGAAAGTTAAGAGACCCGTATAAATCACACCTTTTCCTGCTTTTATTTTAGAATTATTGGTGCATGTATGATTTTATAGTCAGGCCTCACTGTATCTGGTTAAACCTCCAAACCAAAATCAATCCAATCTCAGCCATATCTTCACAATGTTATATATAGTCTTGATAAAGGTAATCAAAATTTCAAAACTCCTTTGATGACCCTCAAATTACGTATATTTCTGATTGAACACAAATTACATAAATTGTTCATTAACTTGTGTATTTCCGAGTTTGAAAATAATGGACAAAGGTAACAAACTATATTTTAGGGTAAATAACACTTTTGTCTTGGCAATAGGAGTCTTCTGTGACCTCACATTAATTGGGTTCGGAAATGAACTATTATCGGGCGTATATGTAACGCAGTGAAGATGTCACCGTGCTGAGATTGGCCAACGATTTATTTCCGATTAATTAGACAACTAGCCTAGATTAATGTACAATAAACATAGCATACTATAATGTGCATACACTTTGTCTAAAAGCATTGACCCAAAGCAGCTACTGGGATATTTGGGGCCCTTAAAGTTGCATGGCTTCTTCATCATCTTGCCCTGTCGGCCATCTTGGTACTGGTATGTCAGTGCATCATCTAAATGCGATTGACAGATTGGTGTTTGGCCATCTTTATAATTTAGTACTACTTTCTTCGTAAATGCTGGATTCATCGTGGAATGAATCCGGTTTCTTTTCATCTGTTTTTGTAAAATTTGGATTGTCGAATCCCCTTTCTACGATGACTTCAGAATAACTTGGTAATTCTAATTGTTCATATATACCATTTGCTTTTACAATCGGTTCCTTCATTGGTGGATCTATAGTCTCAATAATAACTTCATTTGCCCAGCTCTGAACGTCGCCTTTGGCAAAAATAACGTAGAAAACTCCACCAATTACATTCAATGCTGCTACGATCCAGAACACATGCTGCCATTCCATTTGCGTGCCGTCTGTGATAATAGCAGACGTTATAAAAGGTGCCGATAAGGCAGCCAACATGGCGATGGTTATCGTTATACCCATTAATACACCAGCATACCTGTAAACATAGATGAAGATGTTTTGATGATTTGTGATTGTCACCTATATTGGACAAACTGGGCCTCTAGGTGATATGTTTAGTTCCAATAAGACACATCTCTGTATTATAATCTAATAAAAGTTGTTGGATTATTAAAGGTAAAATAATCGTGGTTCGAGGATGTGCTTAACAAATGCAAGACACGAATCTACAATAAAGTTATTAAGTGCATGTACAATAGCTCTGAAAGTAATTGATGAAAATCAAAAGGACTCTTTGTCTAATGAACATAAATATCGTAAGTAAATTCCAAATGATTCAGATGATCACTTTACCCCCTCTCTGGGAGCTTCCACAAAATTATTCCAATCTATCGAGGACAATAACTCTTACAGTAGGTTTCGCAGATCGGTTAAATAAGAATTTGGCGTCTACACATTTTAAATATGACCCAAAAATAACTTTACCCCTAGAGATTCACGCCGGACTGTGGTACAGACGGGCGGATTGCCCGGGAGGCCTAAAAGATGTTTGGGCGAATAGCAGTGAAGACATATATAGAACTAAATAGGCTGATTTATTTTAATCAGAGGGAGAGGAATGGGGTTTAGCATTCACTCGACACAAACTAGGTCATTTCGAGATAATAATTCGCTTGCATGTAGGTGTCTTTAGCAGTTGGCGGCGGGGGGGGGGGGGGGCTCACGAAGTTGGACAGGCGCCCGTCGTCCTTGTCACGTACAGGCGGGGAATCGAACCACACCACTTGACTCATGGGCAGACTTCGTGATCTATAACGTTAGACCATTCTGCAACCCCACCCCTCCCCATAAACCCACTGAAAGAACCTTACAGAATAAAATCAAAGTATTTAGTATTAAACGGACATTATGGAATCGAAAGAAAGGTGGAAATAAACTTTCATACCTCGGTGCGATATCTAAATGGTTAATACGAAAAGCCACCGTGGTAAATTGTTGGAAAAATAAGGCTACAATAAGGAGACCAACTGCCAGAGCTCGACTGTTGTGATCTAGAAAACTAATGGCAAAAAAACAAGCTGAACACCCGACACACCCTGAAATAATAAAGCAAATTGAAAATAAAAGGGACTCAGATACGAACAGAAGTAGAATGAAAAGCGGATGTAAAATTCAAAAAATCAAAGTCCCAAATTAATCTTGGTCATTTCGTCATAAAACTACATTTTTGTCAGTTTGAAAAATGTAGTAAAAATAAATGAAATCAAATGAAATGGTGTTTATCGTCCAACTTTTCTGCATCGATTGGGTTAATCAAGAAGGCTAAACGCCATACAGTATTCTATAAGGGAACATGTGATCGGACAATTGTGCTACGGCATACACGTACTCTTATTTCGATTTCCAACTGTCAAGGGTTCATTTACGTACACGCCAATGGGTACACGGAAAAGAGGAAACCACGTTGGAAAAGCCCGAGGAACTTTCTCGGCAAACAAACGGAGTGATATAATTAAACATACATTATGCAAGAGCTAAATCTGCCTATTGCAGGTCTTTCTTTAGGCCTGAAATGTTATCTAAATTATTAATTAGACATTAATTAACTTATCCAGATCATAATCAACTCTCGATGTCATCGCTAGACTGCCATGTTTATCGGACTAGGTTCAGATTTCCTGTTCGACTTCCATTCATAATTTAATCATGAAATGGATAATCGGGACTATGTGTTTAATCGTTGCGGCTTTAGTAATGATGATCGAGGCTAGACCGAAAATTCAATCGCTAAAATCTCGGTTCAGAGTGGATCAATTTGACTGACATTTTCAGCAAATTCCCTTTACATTATCTAGTTTTTAACTACTATAGTGAGAACTGTCAGCCCTTTATTTAATCTCCCATAATGTTTCTTTTAAAATAATTCTGTTATGCAACTGGGTATTCTTCTTTATTACATTTTTAATTCCAAAGTCCACAGCATAAACTGCAATTCCATTTAAAAGAAATACAATTAAATGGGGTTTAACTTAATACTGTTCTGCTCCCACTGTTCTGAAAACGGGCTATACAGTGTGCTATATGAGGGAAATTTTACCCGAGCAGCGGGTAATTATTCCAAAAACTAACATGGTGATTGTCTCCTTATTTGCCATTATATGAAAGTTATAATACCATGCATATTAACATGGAGGCGCGAAGGGACGTATAACATGTATAAATATATAAATATGATGAATAATGTAGAAAGCTGTATCTGGAATAATAATTTATTGAGGCATCTTGTTAATGCTACAATTCTGGTGACTCCGTGGATCTTAAAGATGCATTATGTAAGATTTAGAAAAAGAACCGACCGTTCTTTTTTCTGAGCGAAGTTATGCGTGTTTGAACGTTTGACAATATAATCTCGATTACTAAGTACCATTGCTACTCTAATAAACAACAAGTTAAATCATTAAATTCAATGAATTGTGTTTGAATTCATCAAAATTACCGCCACCCCATGGTCCAGCGAGTTTATTAGGGGCTTGTAATATGCAATAATGTCTAGTTAATATTAATTATTTATATAACATTTGGAAAAAAATGACCTGCAATAGGCAGATTTAGCTGTTACATCTTACATAATGCATCTTTAAAGAAGAAAACTATATGCTTAATAATAATAATAATCTTGCCTAATGCTACAATTCTAGTGACGCAGATGATTTTAAGAAAGGTGACATACAAACGACCCGTGATTACCACGACGAGTGTCGTGTGTGTTTAACCCGCACCTTGTAATATTTACACAACATAGCTGTTTTTAAGCAATGAAGGCATGTTAAGTGACTAAATAATTCTTACATATTTGACTAGAATATTTATTTACTAACCTATACCCTGATAAATTTTTCGAACAGTTCCCGTTGAGAAGAACCTTTTTCTGATTAACCAGTCTGAACTGTAACCACACAGTAAACTGGATAATAAAGGCCCCGCAAAAGCTGCTGACGACAAGATGCCATCCTAGAAAAAAAAGAATACACCGAAACTAGTTAAAGGAATATCACTCGACCGCCCCACCCTCTCTCACCCAGAAGAAGCAATACAATAAACCAATAAAACACCGAAAACGACTTTACCCCCCCGCCCCCCAAATAAAAAAAAACAAAAACCGAGAAGATGCATAACATGGATTCCTATGTGACGTTCTATTTTATAACGGTCTGAACGGAAGTCTCCTGGCCGTTTTGTAATCGCAAAATTATTATAATTATTATAGATTTGTTTCAGATGTCGAGAAAAACAACTCATTTAGTGAACAAAGAAGAAAAATAAAAGGTACGGTTTTAACAAATAGTATCCAACAAGACATCAAGGGAATTAAACCGCTTGGATTAAGTCAAGAAAGTACTGAATCAGAATAATCTGGTGTGGTATTGGGATCAGGGATGGAACAAGTCATTGAATTGTTGTTTTAAAAATATAACTGGAACTCGACTAATTTTAGTTTAAATTTTGCCATCGTGGTTTTCAGCAGCCCCAACCCCTCACATCCCCGTCCTTATACCTTGGTGCATAGGAATTGTGTCTACTCGCTGGATACGTGTGTGACCCTATGTTTGACCCAATCATTTAGGCGTGAAGCAGTGACGCAGCGCGCACTGATCAGCAGCGAATATTCACTAGGCCGGTAATATCACTGAGATGGCCGAATGGTTAGCGCGTGCGGGTTGTATCATAAGGTCTGTCATTGGGTCAATTGGCGTGGTTTCGATTCTCCGGTTGTACGTGACAAGGAGTAGGATCGCCTATCCAACTTCGTTTGATTTTATCTGCCCCCCCCCCCCCGGGGGTTTCCTCCCACTGCTAAAGAGGATTATTGAAATAAAATTAAATTAAGTTAGTCTCGAAATGACGTGGACAACTCTCTCTCTCTCTCTCTCTCTCTCGCAATACCTCTGTGAAACAGATTGGATACATCGTATATAGATTTCAGTTCATTTCAGTTATACATATAAATCGTTTTATGTTATCACCTCTCGGACACTGAACAGTAGAATATTTTTGAGATATTTTGGTAAATATGCCAGAACCCATGTCGTCGTCCAACCATGATTTATATGAGCAACGACGATGGCCCAAAATGGCATTGATTTGATAATTTTACTCCATGGCGGCTTGTTCATCTGTAAAAATATGATATAAAAATTAAATCAAAGTACGATATAGCAATGTTTGTTTCTTAAAAGTATAGATAATATCGCAATCTACGTTGCTATTGTATTACTTTTAACAGAATCGTGTGGAGAGAAATCAACAAATTATAGCTAATTGTTGTATAATGTACACGTGACTGGGGAACTGAATATTATTTTCGATAAATGACACGTATAGATATATAAATTAGCTATTATGGCTGGTGCCTGTTTCACGAAATTTTAACTAAGATAAAATCCAAATTTTAGTAATTTGATTGGATAATAATAGATTGATGTTCGTGCATAGCCAATCAAAATTGAAATATCTACTAAAATTTTTATTTTATCTTAAGTTAAGATTTTGAGAAACAGGGCCCAGGACTGGACGTCTGTATGAATACTCCATGGCATTCCGTATTACAATTACGTGTACCTGAACAGGTATGGTGATTTTTTAATTGATTAAATCCATGGCATCGCATAATATACTCATTGCTTATTATCGAGGGATACGGACTAAGTTTTCCAAATGTATCCCATCACTTTAGAACCATGCTCCAGTGATGCTTACGAAGATGGCATCGTATATTCAGACGTCCCCGTACTTTCTGGGATATCGATTAATAAATCTAGGCATATCCTGCCCCGGGCCATATTTAACCGAATCACCCATTTTGGTATTAATTATATTCTGATATTCTTTACGCGATCTTTGGGAGGTGGGAATTTATATTCTATATAATAGAAAATTAAAGTTCCATACCTTTGAACTATTAGTCGTTTTCCCATGATTGATATATTTTACTTCCTCTAGTTTTATTCTAGGGTGTTGTTCCGGTGAATCGTAAACAAAATATAGCCATGGCCCCAACAGCAATAATGCAAAACCACCTGAAATAAACCGTGTAATGAAATTATAGATCAGCAGAAAAGCAGGGACGGTTCTTGTGTTTGCCGACCGACTCTAATGAAGACAAGCATACACCATACAGTGTGATATAAAGGGCATGTTTGCCTGGACAGCGGCACTACGGCCTACTCTATCTTTCCAATTCCATATGTCAAGAGTATTTTTTACGTGAATGCCAATCCGATCGATTAGACTATGTTCCTTGTCTGGCCTTCTGTCATCCGCTGCTGACAAAGGGAAACTTCGCCGGAAGAAGCTGAAGAACTCACTCGGCCAACACGGGAGCGAACCCAAGACCTCCAGGTTAGCGAGCCAGCGCCTTATACACCGAGTCCCCACACCGCCCCGCCCAGCCACGTACTGCAAAGAAGAATACAGACATACCGTACAACAACATTAATTTTTACTTAAATCCAAAAGTCGGGACTTAACATAGTGTGTTTTAGGAATGTTCATGTAATAGAGCAAATGTTGTACTTACCAAATACATAGAATATAAAAGGCCAACCATTATCTAGTTGTATAGTACATAAATAACCTGATACAAGAAATGTTGTTATACCAGCTATACTTAAACCTGCAATATATTCATATCATAATGTTATACTTCTCGCAGTGTTTCGTTTGGTTAGACCTAATCCCACTAAACACTGGCGATCTCACCCCAAATATCTGTTCCAAATTGTGATTGGTCAACTGTCCGGTCAACAACCAATACATTACAGCGTAAACAATCAATCGGGATTAACCAGAGCTCTATTTTGTTAGCATAAAAGCATAAAAGTATGGTATATAATGACAATCGCGAATGCATTACATCACAACATGCGAAATTATTATGCTCAATTAACCGGTGCATAGGAGAATATTGCAAAAATACCATGCAACTGTTGATGTTTGCACCCGATGCACCTAAGCGTACAATTTTACTTGAATCAGTGGTCCTACTAACAACCACAGGGGTTATTTTTAAGAGGTCACCCCAGTTAAACGGTCAGTGGTGAAAATTCTACTGTACTCAGGAAAGATTTGATTGGACGATCAAAAACCCAAGATTTCGCTCTCAGTATAGCAATGGCTATATAGAGAGATTTCTCGGACCATTGCTTCAGGAATATGATAATATGTTAGCTCCATCGACGACATTTCTCCTACCTGTATTTCTATTTACTATCGTGTTTATCGATTCGTGTTAGAACAAATGTGTGATATTCAATGCAAGCAGGGTTCGAATAAACCGAATCGTCAAGTTTACCGATTGAATTACCCTGCACATTTATTAAATCAAAAGTCTTTTTTATAGTAGGCTTAAACGTAGATGAACAGATAAATAAACAGACACCCCTGGACATCAGATAATACATATGGAAATCCCTGAAATAACACAATTGTTGGGATATAAGTATTGTTATGGTATGGTTATTATGTCTATTTAGTTTACATCTGATGGCCAGCCACTTGTTTATATCATACATTATTTAATAACTGAATAAGTTTATTAAAGGTGTATTGACAAAATTTGCGATATATTAATAATAATTTTACAGAAGAGTGAAATTAATTTATAAAGTATCTATTATTTCTTTACCGGGCAAATTGCAAGGTATAACCGCTTACAAAAATTACCACCAAAAGAATTCATTCCTACAAACCTGACACTAAATATCACCTGGATAATCGGGGCTATATATCCACGAGTGACAATTAACCAGACACTATTATCAGGGAGAAACGGTATCAATGGAAAGCCTATAAACTCAATATTTTCACAAACTAGTATATGTTATAGGATTGTTCGAAAATTCAAGTTTAGATCAACGGAAAAAAAATTACCTGAAAATGAACAAGCTGTCAACTGGCTTTTTTCATAAATTGGTGCCCATTTGGACCATAAATACTGAATGGATGGATCTACTGCTCCCTACAAAATATAACAACAGATGAAAAAGAGTTACTACATTATTTGTTGAACAGTGTTGTTTTTAGTCATTTGTATTACATACTTATGTGCAGCATCGTCTAAACGCTCCATTACACGCCGACCAAAAAGAGTAAGCGCGCCTTTAAAGTCTCTAGTCGTCATTTGCCTATTTCGGAGAATATCTAAATTTTTAGGGCAAAGATGTAATTCGATTGATTATTTAAAGGTGCATTAAGTAAGAGATAAATCTGCCTATTGCAGGATCATCTATATTTTCCGACGTGGTGCCGGGTGGTGGGTCAGACAAGGACAACTGTCTAGTCGTTCGGGTGAGACAAAAACCGAGGTCCCGTGTACAGATTGTAGTGCAAGTAAAAGATAACTTGGCAGATGGAATTCTAGCGCCGATGTTTGGACAAAATTTCCCTCGTAGCACACATGGCGTATGCCCATCTTCATTAGCCCAGTCGGGGCAGAACAATGGGACGTTAAACCCATTTCATTTCATTTCATTTCTGCCTATTACAGGTCTTGTTTCACATGACAGGCACAAATTACGCCCTAGAACATCAGGTGGCTGATATATTGTGTGGATTAGACAATATCTAATATGTCTTCGCTACACGTTGAAAAGGAAATTCGTGACATTACTTTCGTAATGACAATGGCGACTGGTTACGCTATTTCTTGTCAAACTTCAAACATCGCTCAAACTAAAGTAATTTGATTGAAATAATTTAATATATTCATTTAATATATTTAATTTATCTATTTTTAAACTCTTACAATAAGAACGGTCAGCTCATTATCTAAATCTTACATAATGCATTTTTAACATTTAATTGAGTCAACAAAATCAAAATATCATCGGTAGATAATCTCCCTTCTTGCGCCCCACCCCATCCATGGTCTCTGAATCCGCCCTTGAGCGAAGATTATAGATGTTGTGTTATCGTCTGTAGAGGATGTCGAATGATGACAAATTTTCATTTCATGATATATTTGAAAATAATGAACAAAACTGAACCACTAAATTGATATTTCATTCAGAGATTCAATTATTACACTGATGTGGGAATAAAAGTCTCTAAAATGACGACCAAATATTTTAACGTCAAAATATTAAAGTGCCTCAAAGAAATTTCAAAGGCATGGCAGGGTTAATCAGAATAATAAGTAAAAGTAAAAAGTGTCCACCATTGTTATTAGCATCTGTCATTGATCTTCGAGGTTTCGATCCCAATTATGTAGTGACGACATGGCCTTCTCGCTTGTTTCCCCGTACTTGTTTTCCCTTTTATAGCCCACAAAACTAAATCAATGTCCTACCATTACTAAACCGGCTGTTACTCTCATAAATACTAATAGTAACCGGTTAGCTCGGACGGATACAGGTGTTAGGACGGTTGACAGGGCTCCGATGACCAAGGCTACGGCAATCACTCTTTTCCCACCAAAATACCCCGCAACATATCCACCAAGTATTGGGGATGCGATGAAACCAAAATTAAAAGATGCCAGAACTGTCCCTTCAAATTCAGATGACCAGGTGAACTCTGCTTCCTACACAGAAAAATAAAATACGAATACCACTGTATTATTTTATACACATTCATCGAAGGATAGGCTATTTATGACATTGATGGCCTGCAGTAGCCCAATTCATTTATAGTTAATAAAGTATTTCTTAAAAAAAAAAAAAAAAAAAAAAAAAAAAAAATACAACAAAAAATTTATGAGTAGAATTTATGAGAATTCTCATACCAAAGAAACTCATGTATTTTTAATAAAGGCTAAAGGCGGGGTGGGGGTGGGGGCTTCAGATACAGTTCATTGGATAAGACTTCAGGGAAGGCTCTTGGAGTCAATTATGGTAGTCTCAAGGTAATATTTGTATAGCTGCACTTCTCCAATAAAATACCAACTCTAAGGTATCTGGTGGACTTTTACACAAACCTCTTGACGAACAAGGCCAATTGACAGCTAGTCGCTATGATGTCTTGTGGGAGAGGGGAGGGGGTTACAGCAAGGAATGCAATTTTCCGGTTTATTGCTACATTTTATTACCTCCTGGCAAACGGTATCGTTCCATTTCCGTTTAGGATATTACAAAATGAAAAACAGGAGGCAAGCTCCCTAAAAGAGTTACGTAATCCCACCGGAGATCAAGTAGACCCTAGGTTATTTCTTCTTATATTAAAGTTTAATTTCTATAGATACATAAAGTTTGTTGTTCGGGTCCCCAGTGAAAACCGTGACTTCTTCTTGTTTAACATACCTGGTCAGTTAAAGGGCATGAGCCGTTTTGTGTAGAGTTTAAATTGTCCTTGATTGTACCGTTCTTGGGATCTTCAAGAGACGAATGTAAAGTCATGCATACTGTTGCCATGCCAATCAACTGCCTGATGGCTGATTGACTGAAGGTTGCAGCACAGCATAAATACCCGATTACCCAGCGACATGATGTAAATTTTTGACCCAGTGATTCCTTTCGCTTGGTTCTGATTACGGTAACATTCTGTGGGTAGCCATCCAACACACCAAACCCGTTTTGTACGATATCTGCGAAGAAAAGAATTCTGTAAGATAAACTACACTAAAATAAATATTGGCGGGTTCTTATGTAAATGTGTGCCTTGTTGATATTGAAGATATTTGGCCGCATCAATCAGATATGTCGCTGATTCATGCAATCATTGCTGGACCATGCTTTATAAATCTTCAAGACACATCGAATGGAAAGTAGAATAACTCATTTTTGAAATGGTTTGTTGGATGTATTTTCACGAAGTTGTAAAGGTACAAAATTCGCAAAAGCGAGAAGGGGGAAATCCGTTGACTTTCTTTGACGAATGTCTGTTGTTATGATGGTTGTTAAGAAATGAAAGGAAATGAAATGGGGTTTAACGTCCTATTGTTCTGCTCCGAATTAGGCTAATGAAGACGGGCATACGCCATACAGTGTGCTATGAGGGAAATTTTGCCCGGACAGCGCACTACGACCTACTCTTATATCGAATTCCAACTGTCAAAGGATCTTTGACAATGTGTACACGGGGCCTCGGTTTTTCGTCCCATCCAAACTAATAGACAGCTGTCCTTGCCAGGCCCTCCGTCCTGCATCACTGACAAGGGGAAATCACGCCGGAAAATCTGGATGAACTTCCTTGGCCAATGCAGGGATCGAAACCCGACGTTCAGGCTAGCGGAACCAGCGTCTTGCCAACTTAGCCACCGTGACCCTCCAATAATGCTGTTAAGTGGGCTATTCTCTAACTGAAACAATTCTATGCGAAGTAGCAATTTGTAGTTACGAAATATATTTTTGCCTGGTTGAACTTTTAAATTACTGTTTATAATGTAATCTTGCTTTCAAAAAAGATGAATCTCTAGGAGGAATATCACCCCAAAACGGTCGGGTTCGTTCAATATTTACAAATATATTATGAAGGGACAACTTCGAAACATTCGTTCGTCATCCTGCACAGTGCGGCGATATAAACAAACCAGTATAACGCGCCAATATTATTACCGCCTAGAAAAGGATAATAATAACGAAATAAATCAACCTAAAAATAAGTTAACGTTTTTACCGTTTTATGACAATCATCATGGGGACATAGAGACCAACACGAGGCTTTCGTATAAAGTCAGTTTACAAGACCCTAACCCTAACCCTAGTGAAACATAGGTACACCCGCGCACACCAAAGATTTAAATCCAGGGTCGGTTGGGATATTACGACAAAAATAAACAAATTCAAGATATTATGGATAAGCAAGCCTAAAAACATGCGCATCATACCATATTATAAGATTCGCATATAATGTATTCTGAAAATTGGACCTTTATGTCCAAATGGAGGTCATAAATTTACCGAACGGTAAAAACGGGTTGCCTCCTTAAAGGCCGATGTATTTCGTTATCCCCGTCTAGGCGGTAATAATTAAACGGATGGTTTAGTAAATCCTTTTATGGACATATAATAGTTTTAGTCCGGTAGATTAACTGTTTTTGTTCTCTTGAATGATCAATTTGAGTACATTAAAGGCTCAATACCACTCTTGTTGTAACTGAATAATATGTCCCAATCTTTATTCTGGTCAACAAATTGTACTATTTTAGAATATTTCAATTAATTGATGATACAAATTTCATCTTAACACACCTTATTTAAAAATTTTGAAAAATTAAACAATGGTTTGAAACGTCTAACGTAAACCTTTTCAAATGAAACTTCGATTTAAAAATATTTTTGAACCCTCTGGACAAGTAAAATAGGATGTAATGGATAATTTACACAACAGGTAGGACACTTAAACAGCTAGTACTTAGATAGAGATATTATTTATTTTCTGGAGCTTTCAAGCCGGCAAGAGTGTTATTGTCCCTTTAATCGAGCGGATGTGCTAAATTAAATAACATAGCTTATATTATTGAATTTGAAAATATAAAATCTGGCTTGTTTGTACTTTTAATTAGAAATGCTACGCAATAAATTGACTTAGGTACTCTAGAATCATTGTGAGGCGGCTTAACGTAGGTGTAAAAACACTAAGTCTTCCTAGTACGTATTTACACAAAGAAAGATTTTATAGCTTAAATGAATTTTTTAACTTCGTTGTTTTTAAAAAAATAAGGAGAAACCACTCAAAAAGGGCAAATTTGTTTATGTGGTTATTTATTGTAAATACTTTATTCACACCCTGCGTAAACTACCTAAAAGTAAACAACATGCATTTAAATTTGGGGAAAAAAACTGACCTTTAATGAGTGACACTGCATTGTACAGTTTACGTATAATACAAGACCGAGAGATTGCTGGTGCGTCAAAGGCCAAACTTATATCCGTTTTTGTGAATTTTCTTTGATCTCAGTCAAATAAAGTATATTCAAAACATCACTCTTTTGCGCAAATCACCATCTAGCTTTACTAAAAAAAACCCAACCTAACAGCTATATCTAACCTTATAGTCACAACTTTTTGTATGTAATTATGACGCAATGTTATGGCGGACAGATTCGTGTTTTAAGACAAGATGTTGTATATACTGGTACCTCTAGATCTATACCTTATAAAGGAGGAAAGTCGCTAACTCAATATCATCCACTGTTTTCGACATTGCAAACGCGACTTATTGATCAGTTTAAATCAACATTGATGTTGTTATGTTACCATGAAAAGATGGACCTCTGCTACCTAATATTTAAGACAAAATGAACATTTAAAAATTGGCACATAAATCGCGTGCCAAAATGCTTTCGAGCGCCATTTGTGATGAAGCGACTAGATGAACGAGGCTAAACATATCCCAATGGGGAATAATATCGGTATAGACTGGAATAACCAGAATAACTAATCGCGTATTTCGCCGAACATAGCTGATTAGAAATTACAGTAAAAGCACAAACGACTGAATGTAAATGTAAATGCGAAACTTTTTGCACCCTTCACCCCCCCCCCCCCTTAGTTACCAGCCTGTATACAATATAAGCAATGGCTTATAGAAAATGCTTCAATCAGCCGGTTAACAATTACTGCATTCAGTATACTTCCAACGTTGTAACAACACAATGTGAAAGTTGTACTCCCCCCCCCCCCACACCAGTCGTAATACGAACGTAAATGTACGTATATGACATTTACGCTTGGACGATATTTTGTCCAAATCAACGGAGACAATTTGGCTGGAATGATCGAGACTATAATCTATCCTCGGTTTCTCTGTTTAATATCAAACTGATCAACAGTACATGTTCGCTTGGCCGCAAATATCACTGATAGGAATGACATCAGGGCGAGTTAATTAGCTACCAATATTAACTTGAGAGCCAATTCTGCAATTAGACCAATAATGCACGTGAACTTAAAGCGATAATTTCATATTGTTAAGTTATATTTTTAAAATGTATTAAAATAAACAGTCCTACCTTGTTAAAGAAAAATCCTATAAATCCTATAATTCACTATTGCCAGTCGAGAAATTGGCAAAAATATCATTTTCAACTTCAAATTCAAACGTTTGAAGATAGCTATTGCATGGGGGGGGGGGTAGAAAAACAAGGGAGGTAATTGTGTTATTATTTCCGGGGTGAATGATTTTTAAGTGTGAGAATGATACCTATGATCGTATAATAGTGAGTTGACAACCTATTGAGCAAAAGACATAAAATAATTATGTTTTGACTTTCTTAGAAAATATGAAATTCTCGCTTTAAAGTCAGTCATCTTACACAGATTTAAAAGATGGGTTTGATGTATCTAGGCGAATTGTAAAAACCCCAAACAACTCACGATTATACAATAGCATAAAAGGTAAATAAATATGTTAGGATATCAGATAAAGAATGTATACGGTAGAAATATAACCTAACTATGTTAGGCAATTAAAATACATATTATAGATAAATCCTCTTCGAATTGACGGCAAAATATTGGACTTTGAATCAGGCAAAGGGTTGTTGTAAGTAACCTTAATATGACGACCTCTTACAACATTGATTCAACTAATTTGAAAAGGGGAATGTGCTATATTACATCCATTCAACGCAAGGGTCATTTTGGGACAAGCATATGATTCAATTTTATTTCAGTAATTCGCTTGTGGTGTAGCACTATTCAGTTCGGCAACCAAATCAAATATTTAGTGACATGCAGTACTATAAGCCGCTGGTTAGATGTGGAAAGAAAGCCTCTGTCAAAAACTCCCCACATCTGACGTGTGACGCACAGTCTCTCCTTTGCTACAGGTTTCTTTTCTTCCACGAGTTTTTTTTCTGGACAAATTCTTCCCCCTAAAAGTCGATCCTAGGTTACAGTAACCTAATCTTACAACAACCAAATTAAATATCTAGTGATATGCAGTTTTATGTAGTGCTATGCCAAAAACTTCCCACATCCGAGGTGTGACGCATACTCTTTCCTTTGCTACACATTTTTTTAGCCTTATGATCGTTCAGTATTGCCTTTGGTTATATTTGTAATTCTCTTCTTAGGTCTTTACTTTAAATGTCACTCTGACATCCCACGTTGGGAATTTGCAACTTACTCTGAGTATGGTTACATGAATAACAATACGACAGTTCGTTTCTACATTTTTTATCAAGCACTGGATACATAGGTTACAAGCATAGATTAAAATAAAGTCATTCTCTCAATCCCACTCCCATCTAAACTCGCCAGTGCGAGTCTGCTGATAGAAATTGCTATATCTTCCCTTCTAAGAACCTGCCTCGTGTCTGATAATCGCCCAGAGCTCTGATGGTTTTCTACCTTTGGGTTTCGGCTTTCAATTATCTAATTGGTCAAATATGACGTAATTAAGTATAATGATTGGCTTCCATGCTTAAATGGACAGTAGGAATATTCCTCTCATAAGTGTTCTCGGCCATAGAATTTATCCCTGGCCTTAGATTCCATGTTCCATATTTCATAAACAATTTAATTTCCGTTTCAAACAAAAATGCAAGTCGAAAATTAGAAAATAAACACACTGCGCTATTAGCGACCTGTCATATTGGCTTCCATAGTCTCGCTCTCGACCATTACACCACACAAAATG